ATCCATCATCACACGCGCCGAGTCAACGGCGGATTTATAAGCCAAGTACGAGCAATTATGGCAGCAAACAGCCTCCTTTTTTATGGCGAGGAGCCCAGTCGTACAGACGACTGGAGAACAACAACAGGCGTGGTCAGAACCGAGCTCGTTTTGGATCAATGAAGAAATAGACTCAGAAGCAATTAAAAAACTGTCACAAATACAGGTAAGCGAATACGAGTCTCTCGTGCCATCGCTTATTAAACACTTTGAACACAAGATTGCCAATTTTAAGGCGGGCTAGCTTAGTACTTCTTATTTTGCTTGGAAAGAATTGATATCTGATCCAGAAATTCTGGAGACAGTGTCTGGTCAACGCATAGAGTTTAACCAGAACCCAGTACAATTTTACTGTAAATTTACCTGTATAGTCAAATTACTCATGTCAACAAGGACAGTTTATTGATTCTGAAATCCAAAACTTGTTGAAAAAAGGTGTCATTGCAGAATCTACACATGAGCCTAATGAATACATTTCACCCATATTCCTTCGACCTAAGAAGGATGGATCACATCGCATGATTTTAAACCTAAAATGTTTAAACCAATCTGTTACGTGCCAACATTTTAAAATGGACACAATCTGGACTGCTATACGTATGATGCGTCTGGGATGCTTTATGGCATCCATTGATCTTAAGCCTGCAGCACACGAGAGCTATCTGCTGAGCAAAAAGTTACTCGTGCCTGTTAGCTCAGCCGATAGCTCACCGTGTGCGCGTACATTTTACTGAGTTTTTTGCCTCATGGCAACCTTTTCTCACGTATCAAACATGTTTGATCGGTGAGCTATCAGCTGAGCTAACAGGCACGAGTAACTTTTGGCTCAGCAGATAGCTCTTGTGTGCTGCAGGCTTTAAAGACGCATACTGCTCTGTCCCAATTCACAAAGACCATCAAAAACACCCGAAATTTCAATGGCGAGGGAAACTATATCAGTATACATGTTTTCCAAAATGGATTGGCAATTTGCCCTAGGAAGTTCACAAACTCCTTAAACCTGTCTTCTCAAACTTGAGAAGCATAGGTCATCTATCTGTAATATTCATAGATGACTCTTATTTACAAGGTGCCAACTTGTATTCCTAGTTTTTCTGTTAGACTCCATAAAAATGATTATCAGCCTTACAGGAGAAAAAAAAACACAAAAAATTAAGGAAGCTTGCCAAAAGCTTCTACAATCTCCTCAACCTACAATACGGGAAGTGGCTAGAGTCATTGGCATGTTAACAGCTAGCTTCCCAGGAGTAATGTTTGGGCCATTACATTATAGGCACTTAGATATGGATAAAACTGTGGCCCTGAAAATAAGAAAAGGCAATTATAATAAGACCATGACTCTTCCAGATGAGGCTAAGCACGAGCTGAGCTGGTGGGTAAGCTCAATTGAAAGTGTGTACAATGTACACGCTGGTCACGGACAAGCTGACACAACCATGACCACAGATGCCTCAAAAACGGGTTGGGGTTGCTCCCTAGCTGGCACACCTACCGGTGGCTCATGGGACTCTGGAGAATCGGAGAAACACGTTAACTGGCTGAAAGTTAAAGCCATATTACTCAGTCTAAAATCATTTGTAGATCATATTTGTCAGAAGCATGTAAAAATCCTATCGGACAACACAACAGCAGTCTGCTGTATAAATCATATGGGGACTAGTCACTCCAAGGAGAAAAATCTCTTAGTAAAAGAGATATGGGAATTTTGCATTACGAATAACAATTGGATTACTGTAGCACATATCCCAGGGAAACAAAATGTCATTGCAGATTTTGAATCGAGGAGGGGTACCAATGATAAAGAGTGGGCCCTAGACCAAGCAGTGTATGATCAAGCAATCCAATTACTGGATGTGACATCCAGTATTGATCTGTTTGCCTCAAGGCTAAACTATAAATGCAAGCCTTATGTTGCATTCAGACCTGACCCTGAGGCTCAAGCCATAAATGCCTTTCATATCTCTTGGGTAAACATGTGTTTTTATGCATTCCCACCTTTTTTGCATTATCAACCAAGTATTACAAAAAATATCAGAAGAGAAGGCAACAGGCATAATAGTAATTCCACACTGGCCGACCCAGTCCTGGTGGCCATATCTAACCAATATGTTAACAAATTGTCCCCTTATGTAGCCTAGCACACAACAACACTGATGTTACCATCCCATCCTCAGAAGATACATCCTCTACAAAAGAAGTTGCGATTACTGATGTGCCACTTATCGGGGGATTCTTGAAAGTCAAGGAATTCCAAAAGAAGCTGCTTCAATCATCGTACAAGCATGGAGACCGGGGACTCAAAAACAGTACAAATACTATTTACAAAAGTGGGAACAGCACTGTTGTGAACGAAGTATCAATCCCATTTCTCCAAATGTAGGGACTGCAATTGATTTTCTACATGAATTTTACAAGGAAGGATTATCCTATAGCACATTAAACACGGTACGCTCAGCTCTATCCAGCGTTGTCCAACCAATAGACAATTTCACATTTGGAAACCATCCACTGGTAACCAGATATATACAAGGAGTATTTGTAAATAGACCAGCACTACCACGTTATAAACAGATCTGGGATGTGTCTGTGGTTATAAAATATCTCAAATCTTTGGGTGAAAATACACAACTCTCTCTACAAGATCTGACTATGAAGACAACCATGCTGCTTGCCCTTGTTACTGGACAGCGTTGCCAGACCATACAGGTCTTGAACATTAAACAGATGGTTAATAGTGATGACATGTGGTCCTTTCATATAAACAACTACTTTTGAGTTTATACCAGAAACCACATAAACCAGTTTCATCATAAACCAATTGAAAGTGATCAAAAAGAAAATTTTGGTCATAGACTCTTAGAAATTGTTAACCTTGATTAAGCATGTATCGTGTTGATATTGTGTTATTAAAGCAAAGTTACAGTGCTCATGGTAATTACTTTAAAGTCTCACACGTGATCCGTAGCGAACTAACCAATGACGAAGTAGAATTAGAAAATTAAACGAGACTTACCTGTAAGGTGAAGTTTGATTGAGATTCTACGAGTTATTGGTTAGGAGCGAAGGAGTCACGGACCCACCCTACGGTTTTACCCAGCCCTACGGCTTTACAGCGGGTACTAAATATCAATGACCATTCGCACTCCCTTTAAAGACTGCCGCTCGATCCTTCCCGCGCTATCTCACACGTGACTCCTTCGCTCCTAACCAATAACTCGTAGAATCTCAATCAAACTTCACCTTACAGGTAAGTCTCGTTTAATTTTCTAATTTTGCGTCGATCGTTCTCGATCTATACCTTTCGGGAACATTTGGCAAACAAAACAAAAAGCCGCATCCTTTTCAGTACTGTATTCCAAAAACGGATACTGCGAAAACCAGACAGCCGTGAAACGATTTTGTTTGCTGCTTGACGTGATATCTTCGTTTGACGGATAATTGAAAAGTTTGGGTTGTTGCGGACCAATTTGAGCTAAATACGATCTTTGTCGCTTTGTCGTAATCAAAGGTCTAAGCCCTGGATCTTTCGAGACAGGATCGGGTAAATCACTTTCTGCCACGGGCACTTCTCCTTCGTTGTATTTCGCAAGAGCCAGGTCCACGCTCTTTTGCAGCCTGATTGCTATTTTCTTACAGGAGATCGCTGCTTCTTTTGCATCAATTAAAAAGTTTTTGTGATTTGGAACAATACACCTCTCTATGTTTTTTTTCAAGTCTGTCATCTGACTGATAAGACAGCCCATCTGACCAGCACATTGCACCCAATCGACTTCAGTTTATATCAACTCATCATCAGAATTGTCTGAAAATTCACGTTCATCTTCAGAGTTATCTCGTTCTTTCTCATTACGATTTTTTGTAGCCGTCGTGGATCTGGGGTCACATGGGGATTCGTCAAGCTCCATTAAGTCAGACACAATAGACATAGTCGTCGAAGTCGTTTGATCAGATCCTGTTGTCACGCAGTCATACGCGGAAGAAGTAGAGGATAAAACTGTTTCTTCAGAGTCTTCAGTCGCGGACGTAGAAGGGATAGTTTCCTGTACATCGTCTTCTTCAGGTGTTTGCACATTGGTAGTCGTGGGTTTTGTTTGCGCAGTGCTACTCGCTTTAGATTTGGCAGCCTGTGCCTGTTAGAAACCAAATTAATGACTGTTGAAAATGCGAACAGTATAACCTACACAAGCTGTCCAACCAAAGCTGTTGAGTCATTTAATGAATATTTATACTTATGATTTAAGTATTGTGTTGGCATGTCCATAATTAAAGAACAAACCTACCTGAAATGGGTTATCTGGTGCCCCCGCAACTTTGAAGCCAATATGTTTGTGAGCCTTCAAATGAGCGCTATGGCACAATTCGTTGTGTTTCTTTCGATAGTCCGAATCAAATATAGCATGACAAACAAGACATTCTACCTTGAAGCGTTTCTTTTTTAGAGGCATAATTTTAAACAAAATTAATTAACGTTGGACCGCAAAACTACTAACAAATGTAAATAAACGAAGCGTAATTTCTATTATGCTAGACTATTTTTAGAAAATATGTCACCAGGCAAGTATAATTATAACTATGACATAATTCTATAATTAACTGTGTTATGATGTGATCGTACAGGTAGTGTGTGTATAAACAACTTGTCATTTTGTCCATAAAATGATAAAAAAGCTACAATTTACGTTATTATCCGCACAGATAAAAATTACCAGATTTGAAGTTTCTAAGGGTTTCTTGAGAGAATTGAGTAAAATATTGACCAAATACAAACAATAAAATACGCATATCTTACGCATAGACATATTACAGAAGTAATAAACCGAAAAACATTAGTACCGATTT